TGAAACTGTCTTCCACAACCTCACCTTAGTAGCAGAGTTTGGGTGTTCCTCACCCAGTTTTAAGCCTCCTACACAGCTGTTTGTTTCAGTTAATGACTGTGTTTCAGCCTACATATGATATTGTTGATCATTAGCACCTGCTTGGTATACTTGGCTAATCATACACCTGACTCTAATTCTACTAGATCCCTGACTTTGTGCAAGTGTACAAAGTGTGCAAGTGTAAGAACTGATGATGTTTTGAAGGCAAAGGGTAGTCACACCAAATATTTATTTGATTTAGATTTTTCTTCTGTTCGCTCACTTTGTATTTTGTAAATTGATAAACATAAACAATTGCAATATATATTTTTGAAAGCATTCTTACTTTACAGCATTTTTTCACAGCTGCCTAAAACTTTTGCACAGTACTATATCCAAAAGTACTATGGAACAAAATATTTTGAAAGCATTCTTACTTTACAGCATTTTTTCACAGCTGCCTAAAACTTTTGCACAGTACTATATCCAAAAGTACTATGGAACAAAATATTTCAGGGTATATACAGAAGCAGCCTGTGTATAGTCTCAGTGTGGTATTTCACTGATGAATTGTTCAGTCAGTGGTTTTCCTTGTGATACTATGGAAACAAAAATTGGACTTGAAGCAAATTGGACTTTGTATTTTGTAAATTGATAAACATAAACAATTTCAATATATATTTTTTGAAAGCATTCTTACTTTACAGCATTTTTTCACAGCTGCCTAAAACTTTTGCACAGTACTATATCCAAAAGTACTATGGAACAAAATATTTCAGGGTATATACAGAAGCAGCCTATGTATAGTCTCAGTGTGGTATTTCACTGATGAATTGTTCAGTCAGTGGTTTTCCTTGTGATACTATGGAAACAAAAATTGGACTTGAAGCAGGATAGAAAGAGGATTGACACTTTTGAATGTTGGTGCTAGAGACAACTCCTGAGAATATCATGGATAGCCAAGAAAACAAACAAATGAATCATAGAACAAATCAATCCAGAGTTCTCATTCAAGGCTCAAATTATGATATTTTGGGCACATTATGTGAAGACCCAGCTCTCTGGAGAAGTCTACAGGTGCTGGGAAAGATGGAAGGAAAGAGAAGAAGAGGACGACCAGCAGCAAGGTGGATGGACTTAATTTCAGCAGTGATGGATGCTCCATTGGATCAACCTGGAGATCTACCTATATGGTCACTTAGAGTCAACGGTGACTTGATGTCACATCATCAATCAAATTCACTGATAAGAGTTCTGCTATAATGCAGCATGTCTGGTTGAAAGAATTCATTCTATAGAGGTCATCAGGCAAATAATGGATAGATGGGTCTATGCATGAAGATATATAATGATACTGGTATACATGTCATCTTTTAATAAACCAAAAATCTCTGTTGGTATGGAGAATTTTAGTACATTTCTGTATATGCTCAGAAATTTGAGGAAACTGGAGGGTGACAACACTTATCAATATTTATTAGGATAATAAATACAACCAGCTTGCCAAGCTATTAAGCATAATGTGATAAATTGCTGTTTAAAATCTTTTAGGACAAATTGTCATCAAAACAAAATGGTTTTGTTTCATATTTCTTGCAGTAATGGCTCTATTAATAATTTTAGTCTGAATTTTGATTCAAGAAAGTGAGGTCATAGAAAAGAAGAGTACAGTTATTTGAAAACAAGACTGATGGCATTTACTGTTCTCTTTCCATGAAAATAATTCAGTTTCAGAATTATGTCTTCACCATTGTGGAAGAAGAAGCTTGAAAGCAGGTGAGCTGCAACTGCATGCTGCTCTTGAATATGTTTAATAGTTCTTCTAGCAATCTAAAAAAAGGAAAATATATTGACTGACTTGAAGAGGATAGGAGCATTACAAGAACAATGAAGAACCAGTCTGGGCAGGAATGGGGATGGTAGGAAAGGAAATGGATGTATCTTGCACTAAACAACTTTTCAGAGATGTAGTTGAGTTCATTTGTATAACAAAAACAATGCATCATAAAAAGTATGCAAATTTATTACAGCCATGGTTCCTGTGAACTACAGAGCATTTTATCAGATACATGAAATGCTATGATGAGTTTGTACTATCTGTAAAATGGATCTGTGTTACTGTTAAGAATACCCCCGCATGGTCTCTATTTTCTGAATTTTGTTTCCATTCAACCTCTTTTCTAACAAACCTGTCCTCTATCATGTTATATACAACCTCAGTAATTCAGGGTGATCTACAAACACTTCTGCCAAAATATTTAGTTTGTCTTTTAAGATGTGAGAAATTGTTGTCAATAATGCTATATATAGGCAGATGCATTATTTATAGATGCATAACCTTATCCTTTCCTATTTGGTTTTCTGAGGAATACATGTGCATTCACACAGACTGATTCCTCATGGGATGGAGTAAGATTCACAACTTCAACAGACTTTTATGTGTTCAAAATAAAATTGCAAAAACACAACCCTATGTATTTAAATATTTTTGTAGCTATTTCATAATAATCAGAGATACCGATATTCTTAAGAATAATTTCATGTAGTTTGAAATATGGGAGAGATAATTGCTCCCCTCTTAGCTTTTAAGTGGAACTCCTAATGTTTCCTCAGAACTGAGTCATGTTGAATGTTGTAGAATTTACTCATATTAAGCAAACACAAGGTCGCAGACTTAGAGGTTAACATTTTTTAAAGAGCAGGAACAATCTGATGAAATTCAGAGTCTCACGTAATGCTGCTTTATAGACAAACTGTGTGGCACAATCAGAAACTGAACCCTTTTGTCTGGCCTTTAGTTAAGTGTCTCTTTTCCCCTTTATTGTTTGTTTACTTCACTGGTTAAATCCAACATTCAGGAAATATTCTGATAATCATAATCATATTGTCTGCAAAAAATATGAATCTTTAGCTAGTATATGTAGTTTTTTAAAGTGTTAAGTGGCAAAGAAAACAAAACTGTAAGAAACAAAAAAAAAAGGAAAACAATTTAATTGTATATAAAAATATTAAATTATGTTTTAGGCAGCCACTGATTTCCTTTTTGGAAAAAAAACCCCCTAGTATTTAACAGCTGCAGTAAATTCCACAGCTGTATAATCTTTACTAGATCCAGTGACTAAAGGACATTAGCGTGTGAGTATCTACTCCCTCAACACCATCCTCCAGGAATGAGTACAAATACAGCATCCACATATAGTCAATATTTCATAAGTCAGTTATTAAGCCTAATTTAATACTGACAACAGATCTAAATCCTTTGAATTCATTATAGGAAATGCTGCTGTGTAATGAGTGTTGAGCTTGCAGAAGCAACAAGAGCATATGTGCGCTTTAGCTGATAAATTGCATTCTGGGGGAAAGCTCCATTATTTAACATCAATAACTCTCTGAAGCAGTTGGGACCAACTCTGATTCCAGATTCTTCCAATACTGAAATGAAAATTTATCTTTTTGTTTAGTTTAGGAGCAATGAACACATAAGGAAATATCTGAGGGCCGCTGTAATGAATTAGATAAAGAGTTCTATCTTGGACACTGGTAATCCAAGAATACATTTCTTCTTGGTCTTGAATTTCTTGATGTTTCAAAAAGTCAGGCATTTGTAATCTTTGCAGAGTTCTTACAAAGATAAATCACATTAAAGACCATAGAATGTGTCCATGGAAAAGTGGTGTAATGGAAACACCACCACCACACTGTATTTGCCATGCCTTGCCTTGGATCAAAAATAGGTTTATCCTCATGGAATGAATGCTTCAACCACTGTACTATTTGCAAAATACACCTTCTAAATTATAAAGGATACCAACTTACTTTTTATCTCCACCGCTTGACAGCTGAGGCAAGGCTTCCAGAGCTTGCTTAAAGCTTGAGCTGTAAATTGAACAATTATTTCCTTTACACAAGGTAACCAAAATTATTAATTTCCAGCCTCTATATGTGTTTGAATATGTGTGTTGTGGGTGTTTGCATTTGAATCTAGACTGCAATATGTAGATTCCTACAAAATTAATATTTACCACTAAAATTAATAAAACAGAGAGCCACTTACAGGAGTGTTTTCTGGATAGCATTCAGAGTCCACGTGCATAAGCACACAGACACACGGATGTATTTGCACATATTTGCATGCAATGCCCATTCATTTTATTCCACAAAATTTAAAGCTTTCACCAATCTGTTTTCAGTTTCATTTTGACTCTGAAGTCTTATCTTGTCTTTTAAAACTATCTTCGTTATATGAATATTTCTAAACCTTATCCTTTAATAAAAAGACAGTCTTTTTTATATGAAATGGATATGATGTTACAGGTGTTACTTTCATGTGACACGCTGGTCAAAACAAACAGCCTTTCTCCTCATTGCTGCCTGACAGAAAACAAATGGATTGCTTCCATTTAGAATTAATACTAAATATGTTTCATCTGTGCTAAGTATCTGTAATATGCTTTCAAACTCACCTAGGAAGCCTCTATTATGCACACTGATGAAACTATAACTCTTAGGCCATAATTTAAGGACTGCTGCAGTATAACAGGAATTGGTTGAAGTAGGAGGAATGTTCCTTTTTGGAACTCCATTTACCCAGCCAGATCCATAACCATCTAAATGCTGGCCAAGGCCCTGCTCATAGATTTTTCCTAGTAACACTAATGTATTTTCACTGAAGGAAATAAGTAAAAAAATAAAAATAAAAATGTCTTAGGAAGTACCCAATTATACAAATGCTATTTTTTTTTCACTAGAAACAGGCAGACATGACTTTTTTGGTCATCAAATTTTCTATATTCCATAAGGGCTTCACAATAGTTAGGAAAACCCACTACTGAGAACAGAAAAATAATGAATTCTGTGGTGTTGCTCAGTGCTCACAATGCTATTTATGAGAGCCAGTTTGGTGTAGTGGTGAAGGAGCTGGCCTAGAAACCAGGGGACTGTGAGTTCTGGGCCTCCCTGAGGCATGAAAGCCGGCTGGGTGACTTTGGGCCAGTCACTCTCTCTCAGCCCAACCCACCTCACAGGGTTGCTGCTGTGGGGTAAATAGGAGGCAGGAGGATTAGGTATGTTCGCTGCCTTGACCTGAATATAAATATGTATGGTGGGATATGATTATGATTATGATTACACTAAAGGTCTTGGGCTTGAGTTATTTCCAGGCAAAAAACCAACCCATAATGGAAAATATGCTGAGAGCTGGAGAGTTGCTTGAATCTGCCCAGGAAAATCTACCTCATGCTAGGAGAAACCTGATGAAATGGCGGGGGGATTCTTGTACGAAAAGCTAACAATGAGAAGCTAACAGGAATTACTTGGGAAAAAATACTGGGGGGAAATTAAAGAAAAGACCCGATGAAATAGTTTAAAACAAGCAAAATATTTTTATATTGTTGCAAGTTGCTTAGATTCAAGACTCAAATAATGAAAACAGGGATACATTTTGACTGTTACAACACCTTGAACTTCACTTCCAATAACCCACAGACTAGGAAGGCTGATCTTAGGGCTTGAAGTTGAAAGGTTGCAAAATATAGAACACCCACCACTATTTTAAGGTAGGGATACAATCTGGTCACATGCCAAACTCACGGCTTTCCCCCCCTTTTTTACTGAGCAAATGAAACTATAAGATAAATACAAAAAAAATTAGAGTTTTTTTAAAGATCAAAGACAAAAATTAAAGCAGGACGGAAATAAGAAAATATATAAATATATATGTGATCTTAAGCAGAAATACGAACAGGTAAAATATTCATTTGATTACAAGGGCTCAGCTTAATGTTCTAGGGGAGGATCCATGAATGCAATGGATCAGGGTAATGAAGCAAAGTGAGTAAAATCAAGATTTTTAATTTTTTTCCTTCTGTTTTTGGGGGTGATGTGGAAGTTTTTTATGTTTTATCGATTATAGTAGGGCTGCATTAGGGCTTATACTCTGTGCGTGTGAGTGCGTGTGTGTGTGTTTGCCTCCTCAAAAATAGCAGGAAGTCTTTCTACTAATTTTTTGCACCTGGCCAGAGGTAGTTCCAGAGGCCACAAACATGATGTTGGGAACCTCAAGTAGCCCATGTTTATATTAAGGCATTTTATGTAGGCCCTTTTTTGTTTTGTGCACATTTTATGATTTTTTTTAAAAGAAGGTGTTAACTGAGGCTGTCACTTTTTCCTCCTACTTACTTGCTTTCAGAAGTGAGGAATACAGTCACAGAATCTCGCAGGGCACAAATTTCAAGTCGAGCCTGGAGGACAAAAATATTCCAATGTTATAGCTTCAGTATCTTATTTTACAATGTGAAGGATCTGCATAAGCAAATTTTAGGGATAGTTTTATAGAGCAAGCACAAGAAAGAGGCCTTAACTTCTAGAAATGTTTTTTGTTGCTATGAACTCATTAAACAACTGTAAGGACAATTATAGATTTGGACATTGAGGAAGCAATTAAACTCAATCTGAATATTATGTAAAGTTTCCATATTTAGATTATGCTTTCTTTTGCCCTATATAAAAATATTTTGAATATATCTTCTATTCATTATTCTTTTACCCAGAAAGGATATGGTTTAATATATCATTTACCAAAGAAGAAGAAAGTTCAAGAGAGTAAAATCTCAATATGCATTTTGTTTTCTGTGTTTGTGTATGATTGTGCATGAATGAATCCTAAACAGAAGCAGGAAGCTTTGTTTTTCCCCCTTACAGTAGCCTTCCCTAGCGCTATGCCCTCCATACGTTGAGACAAATGCCCAGAGGCTATTAGGCCAGGGAAGCTGGCACTGGGGGAAAACTAACATTTCCTACTTTTCAGGTGAGTGATTTTAAGATTTTAAGATCCAGGGGCATCTACTGAAGTTTACAGATACCCATTTCATCTTACTGTGGTGTAATGGGTTTTCAAAGTAAATTCAAATCCTGAAGTTTATCCTATTTCAAAGGATGCTCTCTTTGGAAAAAAGTTCCCTTAGGTCTTTGAATCACAGATGGAATATACTACTATAAGAGGCTTTCCTTGGATTAAGGAGAGCCTGTCTTTTGACTGCAGATGCCTGTTAATAGATTTCCAAGGAAGAATTACAACAAAATACATGGTATTGTTATTTGTATGTTTATGGGACAACTTCAGAAAATTCATATAGACTAAAAAATGATAAAATTCTTGGACTGTCTTAGACTGCTATCCTATTAGTGTTTGTAGAACAATGTGGAACTAAAAGAGTTTGTTCCTGCACAATTAGCCTACTTCTCTTAGCCAGCTGATGCTGATCTTAGCTCAAGGATATTTTTTCTCAAACTTACTGTGCATTCAACCGCCTACAACCATGGGATTTTATGAAAATTCCATCAAAAAGAACTATCTGTCTGGAAGCACCCAAGGCCTGTAGCAGAAACACACATTCTTTAACAATAACATCCCATAACTTTACTACCTGTAGAGCACCATTTCTGCTGAAAGATGAAACACACTGCATTAGTCTGCTGAGTTCTTCAGCAACTGCTTCAACAATTCTTGACAGAACTCTGGGCACAAGCTCTTTTGAGACAGTGAATACCTGCAGATTTCAAATTAAACACAATGTAAAAGTTTGAATTTATTTTTCTCTCTCGTATTTTACCTACAGTTGCTATCATGAGAGTAACTTTAAATGGTAGACTTTATGATTTAGAACACCTTACTTGGCAAAGTTCTGGAGAAATGTAAAGTTTGCACATACTTAGGTGCCTTCAGTTGGTTTTTCTAAAGATACTGTTCTGCTGTGGATTTTAGATTCCATTTTTCATGGACAGAATCACATACCACTATTTTCTCTCTTACATCTCTGAAGGTAATAGCTGACACAGAAGGGGTACAAAAATTAGTTAAACAAGCAGGAACATGCAACAAAAAAATCAGGCCCCCTCATTCTTCATCTGTGTCTTCTCTATACTCTAAAACAGGGTTTCTCAACCTCAGCAACTTTAAGATGTGTGAATTTCAACTCCCAGAATTCCCCAGCAGGCTCATAACTATCAACTGAAGAACTATCAATCAATTACCTTCCACATAAAATTTTTTAATTTATTTTTTGGCACTGGAAAAGGATTGTTTTTCCAAAGATTAAATTTCACTTATATATTTTTGGCACTCAGTGTGGATAAGGTGCATTAGTCTCACCTCAGCATGTACGGCAATTATGTGTACTAAAGCTTCCTTTAAATAGTTTCTGACACCTGTAAATAAAAAAAGGACATACAGAGACACATTAAAAGTTGTTCAATTTATTTGTACCATGCTGGCTTCTTTGAATAAAAAAGTAAAGTTAATACCAGCATATAGAAAGTGAAAGCTTCTTCCAACCACACCACCACATTTATTTCCTTTTTGAAAACAAAATGGGGAAAGGCACATTTCCTTATTACAAACATTACACTAGCCATAAGTTCCTAGTTGTCTGGCATCTTTTTTTTCCTTCTTCAAAATAATTTGCAGGGCTTTTTTGGTTTGTGTGTGTGTGTTTAATAATGAATAACAGGGAGCTTTGACTCTAATGATCTGACTGCCACAATTATGAACTTGGAATATATGACTGCAAGGTGCCTACAACTGGTTGTGACTTCATCATATGAGATAAATTACTGCCAGTAAAAGAGACACAGATTTCAATAGAAATGCTTTCAGGGGATGGAACTCTTGGCAGTATTTAAGTAGATACTGAGAATGAATGGGAACACATTTTAAAATATTTCCACTTGAAATAAATAGAAACTTGTAGAGCAATTAATTTTGGACTGAATTCAAAGAAGTGTCCAAATATGCTATTTGAGACAATTCCTCCCTCTTTTGAAAAAAAGACAGATAGCCACAGCAAAGTTCCAAAGTGCTATTAGCTCTAACACAACACAACATCCAGGAAAACAAGCATGAAAAATACTGTTCCTCTAAATTTTCATGTTACTCATAGATTTGCATTTTAGTAGAGCTTAGCAGAATTTAGGTCAGTTTATAATATAACAAAGGAAGGATTCTATCACTAATATAATAAAAAAAGTACAGTACATAGGTGGTCCTTGCTTAACAACCATTTGTTCAGCGACTTTTTGAACTTATGATGGCACTGAACAAGTGGTACTTACGACCGTTCCTTGTAGTTGAGGCTGTTGCAGTGTTCCTACAGTCACGTGATCACAATTCGGGCACTTGGCAACCAGCTCACAATTATGATGTCACAGTATCCCGTGGTCACGTGATCGCCTTCACTGCTGGCTTCTGACAAGCAAAGTCAAGGGGAAATCCGGCAGGAGATCACAAATGGCGATCACATGACTTGTGCTTAGTAACAGCGCGGGATTAGCTTAATAACAACCAGAAGTGCCAAAATTGCTGTTGCTAAGTAGTGCACCCACATGATGTCGCATTTTACAACTGCATCGCTTAGCAATGGAAATTCCAGTCCCAAATACCATCATTAAGTGAGGACTACCTGTAGTTAAAATACTATTAATACAATTTTTTAAGGGAAGTAAAATTTATTAATGGCATATAAAGGTTTTGTAGAAACATTTTGTATGTCCTTTCTCCCCAAATTAGCCCACTAATCTCAGATGAACTTTGTAAAACATTGGGGCTGCCATTAAGAAAGTCTTGGTACTAATAATTACTGAAGGGTTCTTGAGATTGGCTCCCTCCTCAACCTTCAGGGGTATCAGAGGATACAGAAATGTATTATAAGTGCCTTCTCAAATAACCATAATTTGTCTTAAAGGGAAGTTGAGAACAACTTCTTACCCCCATAAAAAAACTACTAAATTTATAACAAGTCTGAAATGCCTCCATAAAATATATGTAGGAGTTAGTAATATATCCAAAAACTGGTTATTGATAATAGAATATATTTTTTATTGTTTTATCAGGTAGTTTGAATGGAGTATGGAGAAACAGTAGTAGCAAGTCATTTCTCTCGAGCCTATAACTAAACACCATAGAGACACAAAATAAGCACAGCAGTATTATAACATTATTTTTTTGTGTCTTCAAGTCATTGCTGACTCTTGGTGACTCCACAAACAATCAGTCAAATCTTTATTATGGTCCTAGACCAGCAGAGACTCCATAGACAAGTCCCTGCAGTTTTCTTGGCAAGATTTCAGAAGTGGTTTGCCATTGCCTGATTCCTAGGGCTGAGAGTGAGTGACTGGCCCAAAGTCACCCAACTGGCTTTGTGCCTAAGACTAGAACTCACAGTCTCTTGGTTTCTAGCCTGATGCCTTAACCACTACACCAAACTGGCGCTCTGAGTATTATAACATACAACCAATTATAAAATCACAATATATACAACAAACAGCCTCTAGGCTTAAAATACATGTAATATTTACCATAATACCAACACTTATGCATTAGTTAAGTAAAATAATATTCACAGAGGCCCAAGGAAAAGAAGTGTTTTTAAAGCCTTTTCATATGTAAAGAAGTTTGAGTCCAAGTGTAATTCTAGTGGGAATTGATTCCAAACAACTGGGGCCAAATGAAAAGAGACTCTAAATCATGATGTGGCTATTCGAGTACACTGGAGAGCCAATCAACACCTGCCAAATAATCACATAAAATACACAAGCTCATGAGCCACCAGCTGGTCTTTCAAATAGCTGGATGTGCTCATATGCGGCTCATGTTGTGTCAACACCAGCAACTTTCACAATGGTGAAATGGCTTTGTGGATATCTTTCACAAATATCCAGCCAATGTAATGACGGGTGATGAAAAGAGTTGGGATAAAAAAGGAAGGTTCAGAATAGTTCAGTCAGCAGGAATCTATCTAAAAAAACATATACCCAGAAATCAGTGACTGGGTGAGATAAAGTCATACCATAAGACTAACCTAAATGTTTATTTCAGCTCTATCTTAAACATGGGATTTGAGCACACCTGAAGGTATCAAAGCTTCTTTTTCCTAATAATTCTAGAAAATAATCACTTCCAAGTCTTAAAATAAATGAAAAAATCTGGGAAGGCTTTCAACAAAGCATAAACTGCTGTAGTCCTCACAATAGCCTTCAGAACATAGAGCTCAAAATACTAAGTTAAAAACTGCCAAGGGAAAGCAAGGAATCTTTTCAATCCAGCTTCCTCATATCATTGATTCTGAGGTTCATACAGTCTTGATATGATGAACAATGTGGGTTCAAATTAGGAAGCAAAAAGCTGTACTTCCTTTTCATAAGCAATCCAAGATCAAAATCCTCAAACCACTTAAAAAAGTGAAATAGCATTACTTGTAAAAAGTTAAACCACTTTTAATAAATCGTCTAATGGCTGTGACACAATATTATTACAAAATGTGCACTAGCTTTAATGGCTTTTTCAGCTAGCTTCACACATAGACCCTCAAGACTGATTCACTGACTATTTGTATTCAAGGTGTTATATGAGCATTTTATATTTATGATTTATTACAGCAATCTTTATCTATGCATATACAGCCAGCAAAAAACATATAGGTGCCAAAGTGTGTGAAGATCTGTTTGAACATGGATGATCCCTCTACTAAATCAGTGACTGGGTCCTGCATGATCGACCTACTATTGGAACATTTAACTAACAGAAACCTTGAATTCTGAAAATAATCTGTTATCCCAAGTTACACTGAGGAATACAGTCAGGTCCAGAAATATTGGGACATCGACACAATTCTAACATCTTT